TGAACAAACAATTTTCTGTCATAGGCTGTAGTATCCGTTACGAACTTCAAATACCAAATTTGAAACAATTCCGGTGAATAATGTTGCTAAAATCCAAAAAAATGAATATCGGGAGGTACCGTTACATGGGGGCTATACCAAAAAGTGAACCTGCACAGACAATTTTCTGTCATAGGCTGTAGTATCCATTACGAACTTCAAATACCAAATTTGAGAGAATTTCGGCGAATAATGTCTCTAAAATCAACGAAATATCGAATATATGGAGGTACTGATATATGGGGGCTATACCAAAACGTGGACCTGCACAGACAATTTTCTGTCATAGGCTGTAATATCCATTACGAACTTCAACGATAAAATTTGAAACAATTTCGGTAAATAATGTCTCTAAAACCCTCGAAATACCGAATATAGGGAGGTACCGTTATATGGGGGCTATACGAAGACGTAGACCTGAACAGACAATTTTCCGTCATAGGCTGTAATATCCATTACAAATTTCAAATACGAATTTTCAAGTAATACCGATAAATAATGTAGCTAAAATCATCGAAATACCGAATATCGGGAGGTGCCGTTATATGGGGGCTATGCGAAGGCGTGGACTTGCACAGAGAATTGTCTGTCATAGGCTGTAGAATCTGCTACGAACTTCAAATACCAAATTTAAAACAATTCCGGGGAATAATGTCGCTAAAATCGTCAAAATACCGAATATAGGGAGGTACTGATATATGGGGGCTATACGAAGTCGAGGACCTGCACAGACAATTATCTGTCACAGGATGTGATATCCATTACGAACTTCAAATACCAAATTTTAAACAATTCCGGTGAATAATGTCGCTAAAATTATCAAAATACCGAATATAAGGAGGTACCGTTATATGGGGCCTATACGAAGACGTGGACCTCCAATGATAATTTTCTGTCACACGCTGTAGTATCCATTATGAACTTCAAATACCAAATTTGAAACAATTCCGGTAAATAATGTCTCTAAAATCATCGAAATACCAAATATCGGGAGGTACCATTACATGGGAGCTATACGAAGGCGAGGACATGCACAGACAATTTTCTGTCATAGGCTGTAGTACCTATTAGGAACTTTAAATACCAAATTTGAAACAATTCCAGTGAATAATGTCGCTAAAATCATCAAAATACCGAATATCGGGAGGTACCATTATATGGAGGCTATACGAAGACGATAACTTGCACAGACAATTTTCTGTCACAGGCTGTTGTACCCATTACGAACTTTAAATACCAAATTTGAAACATTTCCGGCGAATAATGCTGCTAAAATTATGAAAAAACCGAAAATCTGGAGGTACCATTATATGGGGTCTAAACGAAGACATGGACCTGCACAGGCAATTTTCTGTCACAGGCTGTAGTATCCATTACGAACTTCAAATACGAAATTTGAAACAACTCCGGTGAATAATGTCGCTAAAATTATAAAAATACCGAATATCGGGAGGTACAATTATATGGAGGCTACACGAAGACGTGGACCTGCATAGACAATTTTCTTTCATAGGTTGTAGTATCCATTACGAACTTGAAATACCAAATTTGAAACAATTCCGGTGAATAATGTCGCCGAAATCATCAAAAAACCGAAAATAGGGAGGTACTGATTATGGGGCCTATACGAAGACGTGGACCTGAACAGACAATTTTCTGTCACAGGCTGTGGTATCCATTACGAACTTCAAATACCAAATTTGAAACAATTCCGGTGAATAATGTCTCTAAAATCGTCAAAATGCCGAATATTGGGAGGAACAATTATATGGGGGCTATACGAAGTCGAGGACCTGAACAGACAATTTTCTGTCGTAGGCTGTAATATCCATTACGAACTTCAAATACCTAATTTCAAAGTATTCCGGTGAATAATTTCTCTAAAATCCTCGAAATACCGAATATCGGAATGTACCGTTATATGGGGCCTATACGAAGACGTGGACCTCCAATGATAATTTTCTGTCACACGCTGTAGTATCCATTATGAACTTCAAATACCAAATTTGAAACAATTCCGGTGAATAATGTCCCTAAAATCATCAAAATACCGAATATAAGGAGGTACCGCAATATGGGGGCTATACGAAGACGTGGACCTACATGACCCATTTTCAATACCAGAAGTCCTGCAGACATAATATACATTTGAATAAAATTTTATCAATCTACTTCATTTCGTTCGGAAGCTAGAGTGATTACCACAGACGGAAAGACGGACAGACATCGCTAAATCGACATAGTATTTTATGCCGATCAAGAATATATATCCTTTGTGGGGTTTAAAATGTGTATTTCGAGGTGTTACAGACGAAATGACAAACTTAATATACCCTCCATACTATGGTGAAGGAAGAATTTGAAACTGACGATGACGAAATGGACCTCTTTCGTTGTTCTTGCCAACCACAACTTCAGTCATAAGATAACAACAAATATCGCTCCACATCCACCCCAGATGAGGAGATGATTTTTGTAAGAGTTCCAGGTTCGTTCTTGGTCGGTAGTTCGCAATTAACAATCTAGGAGAATGTGTGAACCATCCAGTCAATATAGTCGGGAAATGGAGTATTTTGGTCATATTTTCCAAGCGATTGGGAGATATTTTCTAAGGTTTTTTTTACAGTAGGTATTCAAGTCCCGTCAAGTCACTTTTCTAAAAGATAAAGCCCTGACCATGTTGCCTACAGCGACTCAATTGCTGTCAGTAATTTTGAGAAATCAACAGCTGTTTTAAACCTAACCCTAACAACGACCTTCCTTTTGTGTTTCCCTGATTTCTTTCGCCAAAAATCGACCGGTTTTCTAAAAGATTATTTTCCGATAAATTCTCCAATGGGGATTCAGGTCCCATTATGCCATTTTCTTAAAGAAGATCATTTGAGCATATCGCCCTTTGGGATCCTGGTCCAATCAAGTCATTTTGAGAAACCAACAGCTGTTTTGCTCTCAACCCAAATAACTGCCTAAAAGTATGCAGCACATAAAGGTAATTTAATTTTCTTTTATCATCGTTTGTATTTATCACTCCTACCTTCTCCTCCTTTTAATGCACACAATATTAAAAGTCCCATGCTCATTTCCGATGCAAGTTATTTGCCGGGGACTTCCTCTTTTGCTTCCCTGTCTTCTTCGGCAGAAACGACTGGTTTTCTAAAAGATTATCTTCTGATAAGTTCTCCAATTGGTATTCAGGTCCCATTATGTCATTTTCTGAAAAGAAGATCCTTTGAGTATGTCGCCCATGGAGCTGCTGGTTCAGTCAAGATGCAAGTTATTTGTCGTGGATATTCATTTTAACTTCCCTGCCTTCTTTCGCCAAAAATCGACTGGTTTTCTAAAAAATTATCTTCTGATAAGTTCTCTAATGGGGATTCAGATCCCATTATGTCATTTTCTAAAAGAAGATCATTTGAGTATATCGCCCATGGAGATCCTGGACCAGTCAAGTCATTTTGAGAAACCAACAGCTGTTTTGCTCTTAACCCAACTAACTGCCTAAAAGTATGCCCCACACAAAAGTGAGACAATTTCATTTTCTTTCATTATCGTTTGCAGTTCTAATCCCAAATCCCCCTCCTATTATTTCACAGAATATTAGGCATCCCATGGCCATTTCCGATGAAAGTTATTTAGCGTGGACATTAATTGTTGCTTCCCTGGATCACCTTTGACTGGATTATCTTCTGAAAAATTTACCTATGGGGATTCAGGCCATATTATGCCATTTCCTAAAAGAAGATCCTGTGATAATATCGCCCATGGGGATGCTGGTCCAGTCAAATCATTTTGGGAAACCAACAGCTGTTTTGTCTCAACCCAAATAACTGCCTAAAAGTATGCACCTCACAAAAGTAAGGCAATTTAATTTTCTTTCACTATCGTTTGCATTTCTACTCCCAAATCCCCTCCCTTTATTTCACGGAATATTAGGCATCCCATGTCCATTTCAGATGAAAGTTATTCACCGTGGATATTCAGTTTAACTTCCCTGTACCCTATCGGCAGAAATCGATTGAGTTTCTAAATGATTATCTTCAGATAAATTCTCCAATGGAGATTCAGGTCCCATTATGCCATTTTCAAAAAGAAGATCCTTTGACCATGTCATCTATGGAGATCCTAACCCAGTCAAGTCATTTTAAGAATCCAACAGCTGTTTTGCTCTCAGCCCAAATAACTGCCTAAAAGTATGCACCACACAAAAGTAACGCAATTTCTCTTTCATTGTCGTTTGCATTTCTACTCCCAAATCCCCCTCCTATTATTTCACAGAATATTAGGCACTCCATGTCCATTTCAGATGAAAGTTATTTGCCGTGGATATTCATTTTAACTTCCCTACCTTCGTTCGCCAAAAATCGACTGGTTTTCTAAAAGATTATCTTGTGATAAATTCTCCAATGGGGATTCAGGTCCCATTATATCATTTTCTAAAAAGAAGACCCTGTGAGCATATCGCCCATGGAGATCCTGGTGCAGTCAAGCCATTTTGGGAAACCAACAGCTGTTTTGCTCTCAACCCAAATAACTGCCTAAAAGTATGCACCACTCAAAAGTATGACAATTTAATTTTCTTTCATTATCGTTTGTATTTCTACTCCCAAATCCTCCTCCTTTTATTTCACAGAATATTAGGCATCCCATTTCAGATGAAAGTTATTTAGTGTGGACATCAATTTTTGCTTCCCTGGATTATCTTCGACTGGATTATCTTCTGATAAACTCTCCAATGGAGATTCAGGTCCCATTATGTCATTTTCTAAAAGAAAATCCATTGAGCATATCGCCCATGGAGCTGCTGGTCCAGTCAAGTCATTTTGAGAATCCAACAGCTGTTTTAAACCCAACCCAGACCAACTGCCTAAAAGTATGCACCACACAAATGACAACAAATTTCATTTTATTGCATTATCGATTGTATTTTATCTCCTCCTCCCTTTCCCTCCTCTCCATCCCCCCTCCCCTCTCATTTCACACAATATTGAGCATCCAATGTCTTAGTTCTAATCCATTTCAAATGCGAGGCCACTCTCGTATTTACCGAGGGCTGATTAGAGGCACAGGCAAAGCCATAGCTTACAATTCCCACAGCATAGAGACGTTCACCGCGTAAATAGAGAGCACCTCCAGAATCATATTGACACGTATCTCGGCCCGGTGTATAGGTACAAAAAGCTCCAGCCGGCAAGTAATGAATCAGCTTTTGACAGCTTTCCCGCGATATAACATCCAGTGAGGTTTTCAAGAGCACCGAAGATTGTTCCCCGCCAAAAGAGGTGGTGCCCCAGCCGGCCGTCTCCACACGATGGCCGGGTACGGGAGCCTTACGATGTCCAGCCGGACCTATGACTGGCAGAAATGGCAAGCAGGCAGGGCCCACAAAACGATTGTAGGCAATCGATGTTCTGGTCTTCAGCAAGGCAATGTCGTTGTGAACCCGCGATGAGGTGGAGCGGAAAAATTCATGGATAATGATGTGGGTTATGTCATAATAGCGGGTGAAGGTGGACTCCAGCACTGGAAAAAGAGGGAAAAAAAGGAAAATTAGTAAAAAATCGTTCTCCTTACCCCCCTCTCTTTAACATCTCTTAACTCGCTCACCTGTTGATGTATCATGCTCCCCCACCACCGCCTGCAACAGCTCCGCTCGACCCGTCTCCGGTGTCACATAACAATGGGCAGCCGATAGTAAATAACGATGATGAACTGCAAAAAAAAATGGACAAGAACGAGCGATAAAAAGAAATTCGAAAATCCACAAAGAAAAAACCTCCAACTCACTTATGGCTGCCCCGCAAAAAATCTTCTGAGTTTTTTTCACCAAAATTCCAGCCATGGCAGGAAACTCATCGAGACCGGCCACACCTGATGCTCCCACCACTTTGGTCGTTGAACCCCAGCCACAATCGCAGGGTGGTTGGATAACCTCGACCAAACATGAAAAGGACCCACCTCCCTCGAGGACACGCACAGCAGCGGCAGGAGGTGGGGACGGCGTTGCCACCAAGGCACTTGACTGGTAATCTTGACCAACAATAACTTTGGCCACACGTTTTGAGGAAATCTTAGGAATGTCGATTGAGCCATTACGCCACGTGCTGGCCGGCAGGATATCGTAGCTGAAATTCAAGACACTTGTTGTTGTTGCCGTTGTTGGTATCGATGATGAAGATGCCAAGGAAGCTTCATCGAAGGTATGTGTGTCGACTTTGTTTGACAACAAGGCAACCACATAGGCAAAGGAATTACCCACCGCACTCGTGGTGGTGGTGGTGGTGGGTGAAGGAGTTGTTGAGGAAGTTGTTGGTGCTTCGGTCGTCCTTGTCACAGTAGACGTGTTCGACAACAAAGGACTTCTTGTCGTTGTTGGCTTAGATGCCACTCTTCTTGGGGTAGTCACTTGAAGTGGCTTTTTTGTTGTCGTCGTCGAAGTGTTGGCTTTTGTTTTTGTTTTCTTTGTAGTGGTCGTTCTCGGCGTTGTTGTTGTTGTTTTTGTTTTTTTAGTTGTTTTTATCCTAGTTTTTGTTTCCATTATTTTCTCCGACTGCTCCGCTTCGTTAAGGACATTGACAACAGTCCTTTTGTTTGGCGGTGTTGAAATATAGGAAAACACTGCACGATTCAGGAAACTGGTTCTCTCCATTTGACCCCGTCCACAGAAGTACTCGGAACCGCTGAGCAGTTCACTTCCCTCGCTATTGAAATAGAACACTTCATTGCGGCACTGGGTGGCGGAGGAGAACTGGAATGGAAGATGGAAAGAAAATTAAAATAAACGAATTGAAAATTAAAGAATCGAAAATTAAATAAATAAAACAATTTGGATAAATTTGGATAACTTTTTATCCACAAACTTGGATAATTTTTTAACCACAAAAGTGGATAATTTTTCATCCACAAACTTGGACAATTTTTTATCCGAAAAAAAAATCCATAAACGATCCATAAACGTGGATAATTGTTCATCCTCCAAGTTCTAGCCGTCTTGACTTCTAGATCCCTTTTGGACTTTCAAAGACCTTCAGGTATTTCAATGAGGCCCTCTTCTTCTAAAAGACCCTCTGGTTTTTGTCAGATTTTCTTGCCTTCAAAAGACTCAACTGATCTTCTAACGAACTACTGTCTTTCCAAGGACCTGGTAGTTTTCAAAAACCTATTCGTCCAAAGAACTGATGGTCTCCTAAAGAAGACTTTCTGGTCTTCTAAAGACGACCTTTTGGTCTTCTAAAGATGACCATCTGGTCCTCTAAAGTCTTTCTGGTCTTCTAAAAACCATTCTGCTTCCAAAAGGCCTTTTCGTCTTCTAAACACCTTCTGGTCTTCTAAACACTATTTGGTCTTCCAAAAAATCTTCTGCTCTTCCAAAAGACCTTTCGAACCTTATGAAGACCTTCTGGTCTTCTAAAGACCATCGGGTCTTCTAAAGACCATCGGGTCTTCTAAAGACCATCGGGTTTTCTAAAGACCTTCGGGTCTTCTGAAGACCTTCGGGTCTTCTAAAGACCATCGGGTCTTCTAAAGACCCTCTGGTCTTCTAAAGATCCTCTGGTCTTCCGAAAGACCTTCTGGTCTACTAAATACCCTCTGGTCTTCCAAAGAACTTCTGGTCTTGTAAAAAACCTTCTGGTCTTCCAAAAAACCTTCTGGTCTGGTCTTCTAAAGTCATTTTGTTCTTCTGAAAGGCCTTCTGGTCTTCTGAAAGACCTTCTGGTCTTCTGAAAGATCTTCTGGTCTTCTAAAGACCTTCTGGTCTTTCAAAAAACCTTCTGTTCTTCCAAAAGATCTATTTTGTTTTCCAAACGACCTTCTGGTCTTTCAAAAGTCCTTCTGGTCTTTCAAAAGATCTTCTGGTCTTCCAAATGACCTTCTGGTCTCCCAAAAGACATTTGGTTTTCCAAAAGACCTTCTGATCTTCTAAAGACCTTCTTGTCTTCTAAAGACCATCTGGTCTTCTAAAGACCTTCTTGTCATCTAAAGACCTTCTGGTCTTCTAAAGACCTTCTGGTCTCCTAAAGAACTTCTGGTCTTCTAAAGACCTTCTGGTCTTCTAAATACCTTCTGGTCTTCTAAATACCTTCTGGTCTTCTAAAGACCTTCTGTTCTTCCAAGAGACCTTTTGGTCTTCAAAAATAACTTCTGGTCTTCAAAAGAATTTCTGGTCCTCCAAAAGACCTTCCGATCTTCCAAAAGACCTTCTGGTCTTCTAAAGACCAGGTAGTCTTCCAAAGGCCTCCTAGTCTGCTAAAGACCATCTGGTCTTCCAAAAGACCCTTTTGTCTTCCAAAAGATTTTTGGTCTCCTGAAGATCTTCTGGTCTCCTGAAAACCTTTTGGTCGTTAAAAACACCTTCTGGTCTTCTTAAAGACCTCCTAGTGCTCTGAAGACCCTTTGGTCTTTTAAAAGACCTTCTAGTCTTTCGAAGGACCTTCTTCTAAAGACCCTCTGGTCTTCTAAAAATCCTCTGGTCTTCCGAAAGACCTTCTGGTCTACTAAATACCTCTGATCATCCTAAAGAATTCTGGTCTTGTAAAAGACCTTCTGGTCTTCCAAAAAACCTTCTGGTTTGGTCTTCTAAAGTCATTTCGTTCTTCTGAAAGACCTTTTGGTCTTCCGAAATACCTTTTGGTCTTCTAAAGGCTTTCTGCTCTTCTACAGATCTACCTGTCTTCTACATATCTTCGGGTCTTCCTTCTGAACTCTTGAAGGTATTTTGCTTTTCTAAAGACCAGCTAGTCTTCTAACGGTCTTCCAAAAGATTTTTTGGTCTTCTAAAGACCAGCTAGTCTATTAACGACCTTCTCATCTTCTAGAGACATTGTGCTCATCTAAAGACCTTCTGGTCTTTCAAAAGGCCTTCTGGTATCCTAAAGACCTTCTGGTTTTCTATGAACCTTCTGGGCTTCTAAAGACCTTCTGGTCATTTTAAGATCTTCTGGTCTTCCATAGACCTCCTGGTTTTCTAAACACCTTCTGGAGCTAAAACCCCAAAGTGTTCTGAGATCCTCTGGATTTCAAGAGATTCCCTGACCAGCAAAGGAGAATATTTCCTTATCCCAGTTAAAACGTTTGGTGACCCTCTATAGACTTTAGAGACACTCTGACCTTCTAGACAGCCCCTGATACTCTTGTTAGAGATCCTCCGGTAAATGTAAAGCTTTTTGGTATTGCAAAGATCTCTAGGACATCTAAAAATTTTTTTGGTTTTCTGGAAACCTATTGGCCATCCAAGGACCCTCAGATTTTCTAATGACATTCGGGTCTCTTTTTGTCATGTACATGTAGATCCAAGTGACCCTTTTGTGACCCTCTGCTCTTCCAGAGAAAATATATTTTTATAGGCTTTCTAGTCTTCTACAGACGTGACGATTAAATAAACCATGTGCTCTCCGAAATATTATTTTGGGCGCCTTCGATATCCCGTAGATTTCCTGGCCCCCTTATGGCTTTCTGTTATTGTAAGGACCTTTTGGGCTTTTGAAAACCTTATGGTCTGAAAATACTTCTAGTCTTAAAAAGGCCTCCAGTTGTCATAGAAAGGTTTATAGGTTTTCTAAGGACCTCCTGATACATTAAACTCCTTCAAATTGGAATAAATGTAGAAATATTTAAGTAAGAACTTTGAATTTATGATAATCTGGCGGCCAAATACTAAGTAGCCACTAAGACCTAAATGACGTCGAAAACATTAAAAATTCATTTGACATATACTGACAATAAATATTGGAGAATTGAAGATGTAACTTCGAATGTTTGGTGCCCAAATTTAAATTGCATTCCAAATCCTAAATGGCGCCCAATCAAAAAATCCAAGCATTTTTTTTTCGTTCTGTTCAAAATTTGACCAATAAAAACCCAAATTTCGGATGTTTGGTGCCCAAATTAAAATTGACTTCCAAATTCTTAAATGGCGCCCAATCAAGAACCCAAGGTTTTTTTCTTTTGTTTTTTTTTTTTTTTTTTTTTTTGTTCAAAAACTTAAAACACATTTTGGCCGCAGACCTTGGACATTCCAACAGGACTTAACACCATCGCACTCAGCACACGCCACCCAAAAATGGTTTCAAAATGAGGTTCCTCGGTTCATTTTTCAATGAGGTTCCTCGGTTCATTTTTCTAAAATTTGATGCTATTTCCGACAGTTTTAGCATTCATTCAATAAAATTTACCAAAGTTTCGATCACCTAAAGCAAGCGCTTCGCCGGGAATGGGCCAAAATACCGCAGAGCAACATTCGGGAAGCGTGTGACGGTTTCATTGGCCGTTTCAAGGCCATAATTCGTACCAAAGCTGACCAATTCAAACAAATCTAAATTTATTCTAAAATTTAAAAAAAAAGGCAAAAAAAATGTAAAAATTATGACGTTTGACTTTGTTACAGTTTTTTTTTTTGCTCACCCTGACAACCAAAGACAAAATGGCGCCCAATCAAAAATACAAAAACTTTATTTGTTTTAATTTATACAGATCTGAAAAGATGATGAGTCCTTAATTTTTTGTCTCGAATCTTGAAGTATTTGCAGTTATCTGGCACCCAATGTAGATTTAAAACAAAATGGCGCCCAATCGAAAATATCGAATTTGACCTAAAATTTAGTATTGATGATTATCTGGCACACAAATCAGAATTGACTACCCAGAAGCTAAATGGCGCCCAGTAGAAGACGTAGAACTTTTTGTTGTCCTAAAATTTAACATCAAAATAACTATTTTTTAATATTTTTTTTTAATATTTCTGAATAGAATAGTGACCATGGAATTTTATCTGTCCTTCATCAGATTCAAATGAGTCCTTATAAGTTACTTTCAATTCCTTCGATTAGTTTTTTTTTTTTTTTTTGGTCTTCCTTTTCTCACCGTATTCATTTTGATGTCACACTTAAATTTCAATGCATAATCCTCGGGAGCCACAACCGTGTAACGGCACGAGGTGCCAATCGGATATTCCCCGGGATAATAGGGTGAATTAATGTAGAGCTTATCGCCAGCTTTCATATTTATGCGGTGATTGCATTGCTCGAACAGGGCCGAAATTGGAACGAGGAAGAAACACAAAATCAAAGAGCACCACTTCAAAAGGTAAGACATTTTAAATAATTTTGAATATTTCCTTTTCTTTTCAAATAAATTTGGAACTTTTGATTTTTTTATTTTTTTCAAAATTCACCAATTTTTCAGCATTTCTGGGTTTCACTTTTTATTTAGTATTTTTTTTTTCTTTAAAATTTTTATTTCAACTTTCTTCTTTCACTTTCCTCCAGCGACTAAATTCTGTTTCTATTGCCAAGATTGATGTTGAACTTCAACTTGGGGTTTTCGATTTTTTTTTTGACTTTATGTGTGTATGCGTGTGTGTGTGTGTTTGTATCTTTTATTCTTCTTTGAATTTGACCTCCTCCAACTCGAAGCGTAAAACTACAACGATGCTAGGTGTCTGGTTCATACAATCTTCCAAAAACAATGATTGATTTCAAATCAACGCGGATTTTTTTTCGTTTTTTTTTTTTGCTTTTTGTTTTCATTATCACGTGAATTGGCTTGGACTCCCAGCTTAAGCTTGTAGGAGTTGGATGAATGCTATGAAAACATGTTTTTTTGTGGTAGATAGTCTCTCAGCCAGACATTTGGAAATGGGGGAGGGGTATGTTTTTGTTTTATTGGCTTTTGTGTTTTTTTTTTTTATAACTCCAAGCCATAGAGCCATTACACCTGTCGGTCATCTTTTGAGCCGCCTGCTTAAGATGTTAATGGTGTAACGCTAAGTGTGACCGACAGGCATTTTTGTATGGTTATGGTCAACACCTCATTATAACCGAAACGTTATGACCACCCACTAGTCTGGTTTTGGGGAATGGTGGGAAATATTTAGGGAGAATTTATTTTTAAAAATTAAAAAAAATTAAAAGTCTCAATTTTGAGGAATGGGGCATTTTTTTAAAGACATTTACAAGATTACAGATTAGGATTTTTTAAAAAAATAATCCATATTAATATTCCACCAGACACTACAAGAGGCTGGGTAAATTCTGAAATTAATTTTCTAATTAATTTACAATTCACCCAAAAAATGGTTTTTAATTGAGACCTTCAAAAACGTTAAAAAAAATTCTAAATAATAAGAATCCAAAATTAAAACATAATAAATTATTCAACAATTTGTGTCCCACTTTTGAAAAAAGGCACCCTGAGGGACCCTAAAGTGGGTTTAAAAAAATCTTAAAAAAAAATTTCCTTCAAAAACATTAAAAAGGGTCTACATAATAAGACTCCAAAATTAAAATATAAAAAATTATCCTACAATTTGTGTCCCACTTTTGAAAAAAAGGTCCCCCTGTGGGGCTCTAAAGTGGGTTAAAAAATCCCCCAAAAAAACTTCGTAGGGGGGTGTTTAAAAATCCCCCTATAGGGATGCTAAAATTAAAATATAAAAAAAAAATATTCAACAATTTGTGAACCACTTTTGGAAAAGGACCCCCACCCTGTGGGACCCTAAAGTGGGTTTAAATAAATCTTAAAAAAAAACTTCGTAGACGGATGTTCAAAAATCTCCCTATAGAGATGCTAAATTTAAAATATAAAAAAATCATTCAACAACTTGTGTCCCACTTTTGAAAAAAGGTCCCCTTGTGGGACCCTAAGGTGGCTTAAAAAATCCCCCAAAAAAACTTCGAAGGGGGATGTTCAAAAATCTAGGGGGGATGCTAAAATTAAAATATAATACATTTTTCAACAATTCGTGTCCCACTTTTGAAAAAAGGCCCCCCTGTGGGACCCTAAAGTGGGTTTAAAAAATTCTTAAAAAAAAACTTCGTAGACGGATGTTCAAAAATCTCCCTATAGGGATGCTAAATTTAAAATATAAATAAATCATTCAACAACTTGTGTCCCACTTTTGAAAAAATGGCGCCCCGTAGGAGCCTAAAGTGGGTTAAAAAAATCCCCAAAAAAACTTCGTAGGGCGATGTGCAAAAATCCCCCTACAGGGATGCTAAAATTAAAATATAATACATTTTTCATTAATACATTTGTGTCCCACTTTTGAAAAAAGGACCCCTGTGGGACCCTAAAGTGGGTTTAAAAAATTCTTCAAAAAAAAAAAAAAAAACTCGTAGATGGATGTACAAATCCCCCTATTGAGATGCTAAAAAGCGCCTGAATATTTCGAGGCAAAAGTCTCATTGTGAGCCTCTAAAGGAGAATTTTGAAATCCGCCATGTGAGACCTTAAAGTAGGCTACACACGCCTTCTTTATGGGACCCCAAAAATGGCGCTTGAAGAATTCTAAAATAGAATACCCACAAATATACTTTGAAATTATAAAAAAGAGCTCTGTATTCAATACTCAAAGGATTACTTAATCTCCTTGAGACCTTTCGGTATTCCAAAGTCATTCTGGGCTTCAAAAATACTCCTAGTCTTCTGAAGGTCTTCTAGACATCTTAAGATATAGTTTCCTTCACAGGATATGTAGACCTTCTATTGACCTTCTAAGCTGAGATCCCCTTGTTTACACTCCACCATAGTATGGAGAGTATATTAAGTATATCATTCCATTTGTAACACCTCGAAATATACATTTTAGACCCCACAAAGTATTTATATTCTTGATCAGCCTAAAATTCTATGTCGATTATCAATGTACGTCCGTCTGTGGAAATCACTCTAGCTTTTGAACAAAATGAAGTAGGTTAACAAAATTTTACTAAAATGTATATTATGTCTGCAGGATTTTTGGTATTGAAAATCGGGCATTTAGGTCCACGTTTTGTTATAGCCCGCATATAACGGTACCTCCCTATATTCGGTATTTTCATGATTTTAGCGACATTATTCATCGATTTTTTTTTTAAATTTCGCATTTGAATATTGTAATGGCTTACGACAAAACTTGCCAGGTCCACGTCGTCGTATAGACCGTAATATAGCGGCTACATTCGGTATTTTTAAGATTTGAACAGAATTTTTAAAGTTTTTTTTTTTTGTTTTTCTTGAAAAGTGCCAAATTCACTCCAAGTGGTGGAGGGTATACAAAGTTCCGAACTCACAGTTTTTTTATTTGTTATTTTTTTTTTTTTTTAAATGTCATTAGTGGGTGGGTGGTACTAGTTCAGTGAAGCACATCACTGCGAGGTGTTAGAGTTGTCGGATTACGGCTATAAACTCTTCATATAACATTGACTCAAGACATCGGACCTTTGATGGTTTCCTCCACATTTTGAAATTTTAAATATCCAACACCGGACTTTAATTATCCAAATGTAAATTGACTTCCCAAGGCCAATCGAAAAAAAAACTAACAATTTTATTTTATTTATTTATTTTTTTTTTTAAATTTAAATTAACTTCCCAAGACAAAATGGCGCCCAATCAAAAAACCAAAAATTCTATGTAAAATAAAAAAATATTTGAGCGGATATATGGTTATTTGGCACCCAAATTTTATGTGACTAACAAATGCTAAATGGCGCCCAATCAAAAACATGAGCAATTATTAGTGGGCCCCATAAGACCCTTAAGTAAGTCTACAAAAAACATCTGGCACCTAAATGTGAATTAATTACAAAAACTTAAATGGAGACCAGTAGAAAACCGAATAATTGAATCAAATTTAGAGTTATCAGAAAAATAACTTGAGATTAATGGTTATGTGGGGTTCGAAGGCTTACAGAAGCTAAATGACGAAATCGCAAGAATATTATGTGTCCTCAAATTAAAGTATATATTGAAATATTTCAATTATAACTTCGAATGTATAGGTCTCTAATGCCCCAATGTGAACTGACCACCAAAAGCTAAATGGCGCCCAATCAAAAGCATAAAAAAGTTGTTTTTTTGAGTCTTCTAAAATAAATGCAATAAATAATGTTAAAAAATCTCTGAAATATATCCTCTTTCAAAGGGCTTTGAAGGAGGATAAGGAAAATTTTCCCATTGTAAGAAGAAAATTGAAAATTCTATAAAAAAAATCAAAACTAGGTCCAAAAAATGTTTAATAATTTTTCACACAAAAATCATCAGAGTTTTTTAAGAAAGACTTCAAAAAGAAATTTAAAACAAATTGAAAAGAAAATTAATTTTTTGTTTTTGAAAACAACTTCCTCTCTGAAACCCTAAATTTTAAAAAGCTTTTAAAATTCCTTTCATGAAGAAGCCACTAGGCTTGAATATTTTTGTAAACATTTTCTCTTTGAGATACTAAGATTATATTAAGATTTGTGAAGGTATAAATGTCCCCCTCCTGGGCGTTAAATGAGACTCAAAAATATTTCTGTAAAATATATAAACTTTGCGACATCAAACGAGGCCTAAAAACGCAAATACCCATTGAGAAATCCTAAGAATGGTTTTATAGGTTCTAGTATGGCTCCAATTGAAAATATTCCCTTATTTGCCAACTCCAAATGGTTCTGGAAAATGTCGAAGGAATCCTACTGGACGACCCCAAAAGACGACATTTAAAAATTTTACAATTTCTATTTTTTTAACAAAACAAATGAAAAAATAGCTTCTTGGCTTTAGAATACCAAAAAGACTTTAAAAGACCAAACCAACTTTAGAAGGTCACAATCTCTTAAAGAAAATACAATTTTTTCAAATCGGAGGAGCTTTAGGAGGCTGTTAGGGCTTGAGAAGACCAGGGAGTCCTTAGAAGATATGTTCAGGAAGACAGAAAGTATTTTGAGGAACATAATGTCTTCCGAATACCAGCAGTTTATTTTTTTTAGATTACTTGAAGGTCTTTTGGAACACCAGAAGGTGTTTTGGAAGGCCAGGAGTTCTTTTGGAAGACCAAAAGGTGTTTTGGAAGACCAGAAGGACTTTTGGGAGACTAGAGGGTATTTGGGAGGGCCAGAATGTCTTTTGGAAGACCAGCAGGTTTTTTGGAAGACGAGAAGTTATTTTGGAAGACCAGAGGGTATTTGGGAAGGCCAGAAGGTCTTTTGGATCACCAGAAGGTATTTTAGAAGACCAGAAAGTGTTTTGGAAGACCAGAAGGTGATTTGGAAAGTCCCGAAGGACTTTTGATACTTTTTTTTTCGAAAAAAAAAAAAAAAATAGAAATATCTTCTGGTCTTTAAAATAACACT